CATAGTCCTTAGGAAAAGATGCACTTACTGTTACTTCTTGGTATCCTAACTGTCTCTAAATTTGTGACCTTTTTGCTGGCATGTTTTGAGTTAATCAACAGTGTGTCATGAATACCTACAAAGAAAAATTACATCAGTTATTTCACTATTTACCAATGTGATACTAGCTCCCTTATTTAGATATTTCACAAGATTTGCACCAGAAAACAGAGACAATTTAAGAAAGTTTTCATTAGTTGGAGAATTTAACTAGTCAACTCTTAATACAGCAAACGGGATGACCAATTTCAAGGGAATTACTTATCACTAATTAAAATGAGACCTTTAAAAGTTTATTTTAGAATGATTTCTTTATCCTATCAGAAGTTTGAAAACATTCAGTACCCTTCTAGTTTTGTCCTTTCAAGGTCTGACATCACAGTACATCCTTAGTATTTTTCGCTTATTTACTTAGCATTACATCAGCAATACCAGGTATAGTTAACTTGTTCTCCTTTGGAACATATGTAGGGATTAACAGATAAGCCTTTGCATTAAAATAATATATATGCATAGTGCCTTGGGCTGAGAATCTCATCAGATCCCACAAGCTAGGGAGGCTCAAACAGTGAGGCGTGGCCTGGCCCCTGCCTCCTATCCAGCCCCCAGAACCCCCACCCCCATCCAACCCCCCAGAACTCTCGCATCCTATCCAAACACCCCTGTTCTCTGCCCCTGACCAACCCCACGGGACATTTGTCCCCTATCCAATCCCCCCTGTTTATCACCCCCAGGACCCCCACCCCCACCCAACCCTCCCTGCTCATTACCTGTGGGGTGGGGGAAAGTGGGACTCAATGCTTTCCCTGTGCATTTCCCCTGCTCGTTTGGCTACTCTCCCTGGCAGTCGGGCAGGACTCACTCCCTATCTGGGCTTGACTGCTGGGGACAGGGGCCAAGCATGCTGGGGCTGGAGGGGGGGCCCTGGCTTGCTATGCCCCTGTCCCTGGCAGCAGGGCCCAGGCCCCTTGACTGCCTCCCCGGAACTCCCCCTGCTCCCCACCCCCTGACTGCTTCGCCCTGGAGCACCAGGTCTGGTGGTGCTATAGCTATGCCGCCCGCAGGAGCTACAGACACACTGCCCAGGCGCTGGGGGAACTGTGACTGCGAGGGAGGGAGGGGAGCAGAAGGGAAGGGGTCAGGGGCTACCCTCCACCCCGCTGCCACCGTGGGGGAGTTGGGCTGGCTCCTCTGCAAGCCTGCCCTGACACCGCTCCCTGGCAGGAGCTCAGGGGCCAGAGGGAAGGGTCCTGCGGGCCGGATGTGGCCCACAGGCTGTAATTTGCCCCCCCCTCTGGTCTAGATAATACTTTGTCCTGCCATGAGTGCAGGGGACTGGACTAGATGACCCCTCGAGGTCCCTTCCAGTTCTATGATTCTATGAAAACTGTTTTCCCCCCCCCCCAGCTCTTCTTCCCAATATGAAAACCTGAAAACTCTTGATTCCAATCAACATTTCATTTAGGAAATACTGATGGTTTTAACACGTTCAAAACCGAACCATTTCAACACTGCCCAAAATTTTGTTTTCAGGGTTTTTTTTATATTTCCGGCCAAAACTATTCACCGAATTCGGTCAACATTTGTGACTAGTTTGGGTGCCCCCCCCCAAAAAAACAATACATTTGGCAGGAAATTTACTATTCGTCCCCCTCTAGTCAGGACGGGTCAGTTCTGGGCTCAGCGGCTTCCCGGAGCCTCAGCGGACGCTGCTGAAAGGGCCAGCGCGAGCCTGTGCTTTGCCTTCTCCAGGCCACGTGCAGGCAGCCTGGGGAGCTCAGAGCGTTTCATGGGGGGGGGTCGAGCGGAAACCGAGACCTTCCGCCCCCCAACAAGCTGGGCCCCCGCCACCCTGCCCCTCCCACCCGAGGCCGCCTACCGGTCAACCTGAATCCGGGCGGTGCCGCGTGGTCGCGGCTTGCGCAACAGCTGCCGCGCGAGGCGGGCCCCCAACTGCCGCGCAGGCAGCGCGCGCTGCTCTCGGGCCGCGTTACCCGCCCGCTCGTCGCCACCATCGCTGAAAAGTGGGGGCGACACCAGACCGCGCGCGCGAGCAAACCGCCTCCCGCCAGGCGCCACTTCCCAGCCCGCCCGCCCCGCTTCTTGCCCGCAGGCGGAGGCTCGCTCGCTCCCTCCCCCCCCCAGCCCGGGGCGGCTCAGGACCGGCTACCTCCTCCGCTCCCCACGGACAGCAGCTCCCTGGAGGCAGCGGCGCCCGCGGCACTTTCCTTCAGCGCCATCGGGGTCTCGGGCCTACGCGCGCCGCTTTCTTCCATATGCGCGGGGGCGGGGGGTGTCGGGGATCCGGATGCCGACGGGGCTCCGCTCTAGACACAGACTAGCTGCCTCGGGCTGCGCCACAGCGCCTCCTGGAGCCCGGAGGAGGCGGCGCAGCTCGGGGCGAGGCAGCCCCCAGCGCTCGCGAGTCTCTCGCTGCCAAGGCGCGGCCAAGCGTCCCTTGACGTCAGTGGGAGACTCAGCCCTGGGAGGGATTGTCCGGGTGTGGCTACACGGCAAGGGAGCAGCCGGGCTACCCCTCTGATCATTGCAGTGTAGACATTCAGGCTGGGGCTGGAGCCCCAGCTCTAGGACCCGGCCACAGGGGGAAGGGCCAGAGTCTGAGAGGCCCCAGCATGTGCACCCCTGTTTTACAACCCGGCAGCCCGGGGCCTGCCAAGGCTATTTCATTGCACACCCTTAGGCTCAGCCCGTGCAGCCAGGCTTTTCATAGGGCGTGGTCTGGTGAGGAACGGATACATGTGCCTCATAGAGGCGCCACCCCGAGAAACTGCTATGGGCCATCACATAGCCTGGCCAAACAGGCTGCAGAGGTGGTAGTAGGCTACAGGCACAGATGCCTGATTATAAATCTATTGAAACCAGTTGGCAAAGTCCTAAAATGAGGGGCGGGACTAATCAATGAAATGTCCTGATTGGACAATGATAAACCAGGAAAGCTTATGCTCCCAATACTTCTGTTAGTCTCAAAGGTGCCACAGGACCCTCTGTTGCTTTTTAATGATAAACCTAACATTTCTGGGAGACGGTTAAGCCCTGACTGACCCCACTGTGGGGGGTTCTGCTGCCCATTAAATATATATATATTTTTAAGTTCCTGAAAACTCTTCTGAGACTGACACACAGAGAGTTTCTGAAATCTCCCTGCTAAGTAAGGGCAGGCTCAGAGATGGCGTTTAGAAAAACTGAGAGCGTGCAGAGATATGGGGGAGGGTAAAGCAACCTGTGCTATATTTACTAATATTATAATTTCAATCTGCCTGTATAATCTGATAATTAGGACCCTACCAAATTCATAGTCCATTTTGGTCATTTTTACAGTCAAACGATTTTAAAAATAGTAAATTTCAGATAATTAAAAATGAAAATTCACAGTGTTGTAACTAGAGCCCTGCAAATCCGTGTGTATCCGCTTTATAGCCGTGGACCATTTCTGCGGATAGTAGCACAGATGCAGATACAAATTTTGTATCCCTGTAGTGCTCTGATGGTAAGAACCCAGTGCGTAGGTGTGAAGAAGTGGTGCGGATCCTCCACCTGCCCTGGGTGAGGGACCTGGGGGGCAGGGACATGGGCCTGGGGCTGCTTGGGCCCCAGGGCCAGGGTAGGTGGAGGATCTGCTGCTGTTCCCCACAGCCACCCGCCCATCTCTTATCATGGCCAGGCTGCAGCTCCGAGCCACCTCGAGCCGGGTCGGGGAGAGCTGCGCTGGCAGCTGTGGGGAGCCTGGGTCCCTCCACCTGCCCTGGGTGGAGGGGCTGTAGGGCAGGGATACTTGGCGGGGAGGCTGGGGGGCAGGAACACTGGGCAGGGGCTGCTCGGGCTCCCTGCCCAGGGCAGGTGGAGGGTCTGCTGTGGCTCTGCACAGCTGCCCGCTTCGCTCTTATCATGGCAGGGCTGCAGCTCTGAGCTGCCCTTCGCCCTGCCCCCCCCTCTGCTGGAGCTGGGTTGGGGAAAGCCGCGCTGGCAGCTGTGGTGAGCCTGGGTCCCTGGGTGGGGGGTTGGAGAGCAAGGACACTGGGTGGGGCAGGCTCGGGAAACAGGGACACTGAGCGGGGAGGCTGGGGGGCAGAGGCAGGGGGCGGGGGAGCAGGGATACGAGCTGGGGGCTGCTCGGGCTTCCCACCCGGGGCAGGTAGAGGGGCTGTCGTGGCTCCCCACTGCTACCAGTGTTGCTCTCCCTAACCTGACTCTGGCCGGGGAGGGGAGTGGCTCGGAGCCACAGCCCAACAGGGTAAAAGCCGGGCAGGCAGCTGTGGGGAGCCATGGCGGACCCTCCACCTGCCTGCTGCGCAGGGTGGGACTGAGAGCAGCCCGCGGCCATGTCCCCATCCCCCAGGCTCCACTCCTGGCTGAGGGCAAGTGGAGGGTGCACAACTCTGTGTATCTGTTCAGGGCTCTAGTTGCAACTTTAGGGGTTCTGACCCAAAAGGAGGGTGTGGGGGGTCACAGGGTTATTGTAGGGGGGTCGCGGTACTGCTACCCTTACTTCTGCACTGCTGCCTTCAGAGCTGGGCCCTTGGCCACCCGCCGCCACTCTCAGGCCACCCAGCTCTGAAGGCAGCAGCGCAGAAGTAAGGGGGCATGGTTAGGTATTGCCACCCTTACTTCTGCACTGCTGCTGGCGGGCTGCTGCCTTTAGAGCTTTGCACTGGCCAGCAGCCGCCGTTCTCCAGGCACCCAACTCTGAAGGCAGCATGGAAATTAGGGTGGCAATATCGCGACCCCCCCCCAAAAAAACCCTTTTTGGGTCAGGACCCCAGTTTGAGGAACGCTGGTCTCCCCCGTGAAATCTGTTTAGTATAGGAGAGTAAAAGTACTGATCATACTGATAATACACTACAACTTGTGTGTGAAATGTTTCTATACCTCCCCATAATTAATCCATTTTTGTCAAATAATGTCATTCTTCTTCTTCATTATTTGGTTTACTGTAGCACCCAGGAGTCTCAGTCATGGCCCAGCACCCTGTTGTGCTAGGTGCTATACAAACAGAACCAAAATATTCCAGTCCTGCCTCAGAGAGTTTACACACTAAGTATAAAACAAGAGACAACAGATGGATAAAGACAGACTACTGGGGGGAACAACAGGAACCAATGAGACGATATTGGTGAGTAAGACAATAGTCTCAGCACACCAGCATCCTAACTGTTGTAAGTTTCTTGTAGGTTCAATATTATGTAATTGTGGAATAAAGTACCACATAGCTTAGGCGCCACAAAGATTTATCTGCATATGGATAAATCTCTGTGGAACCTAGGCTATGCAGGATCTCTGCAGGATCAAGGCATCCTTAACTCTTTCTCTTAGGGGAAAGAATTAAAGATGATAAAGAAGGGAATTGGAAGAGAGACAGAGAACAGAAATTTAGGCATCTCATTTAGGATTTTTCTGAGTTATAGCTGTATAAATCAGATATTGATGTATTTTAATATTACTTGAATTTATTGCATTTAATGTTAATGTTATATTATATTAGGTCATAGTGTCTTGTATAAGCCTAAGATATCATAGTGATCTGGAGTTCAAATTTATCCAGGTACTGCTGAATGAAATACCTACTCCAAGGCCCAAATTAACCACTGTGCACTTGCACCGGGCCCCCATCTGAGAAGGCCCCTTGACTACCAGGAAACCCCTCCCCACACACATACACAACATAAAATAATAATGATTTTAAAAACTCTCAAAACTTACATGCCACAGGCCAGAGTAGGGCATTGGAGGGGAAGGCCCCACCTGCATGCTAAGGCTATGTCGACACTGCACTTTCATCAGTAAAACTTTTGTCAGTTAGGGGTGTGAAAAAAACACAAAGTTTTACCCACAAAAAAACACCGTTGTGGACAGCGCTATGTCGTTGGGAGACACTCTCCCGCCAATAAAGCTACTGCCGCTTGTTGGGGGTGGTTTTATTTTGTTGGCAGGAGAGCTCTCTCTTGCAGACAAAGAGCATGCCTTACAGCAGCACGGCTGGGGTGTGCAGTGTAGACGTAGCCTAAGGCAAGAGACAACAGGCTGGAGCAGCAAGCCAGCCCAGCCCTGCAGGACAGGAGTCGCTGTGGGGTGACCCTTGAGTGGCCTCCCTTACAACCCCATCCCCTGGAGCCTCTTACACCTCCTTGGGGGCAGGACCTTCCCCCCCCCCAGACCTCCCACCCCAGGGAAGGTGGGAGGCCCCCAATTTCCATAGTGCACAGGCCCCAAAATTCTTTAATGTGACTCTGAAAATACAACTCCTGTAATTTTAGATTAACTCTGCTCGTATACAGTTTTAAAGAGATCAATCACTAATGCAGTCTGAATATTTCAAAGACACATGACTGGTAATCCAAACATAATTAAGTATACAGAAAAAGAAAGGGGTTTTAATTCTTATGAGTCTCCTGGTATTCTAAGCAAGCAATTTTAAAGGGGTGTAATACAAAATGCCCTGATGGAAGTTAGGTATTTCAATCAGCTATATTATACCTCTAAGGAGTACTGCCTCAGAACTTTATAATAAACCATTGTTTTTTAAACAGTAATATATAAAAATAGATTACAGTGAGTATATTTCTTTAGCTCACTGGGGAACGCAGCTGTTTTACTACTCCAAATACAGAGTTTCTACCAAGATTTCAGGAAAGAGTAGTGGCAAATCAACAAATGATCTCACTGTGCTTGTCAAAAGTGGAGGAAGGTTGAAAATCATAAATACAGTTTTCATAGTTTAATATAATACCAAACTAAGTAAATAAAGATGAAACAGTATTTCAGGGAAAGGAATAAAAGGTAGAATAAGGTCATTACCGTTTCTTTTTTTGGATTGTACAGTACCCTTGGTTTGCAAGTGGTGATCCCATCAATTAGAGTTGTACACACAAACTGAAAGTAACATATAGCCTTCTAGGCTCATGTAAATCAGTAGTTAAAAATATGAGGAAAGGGAAGGAAAAAGGCAACAAAAAGCAAAAAACTTTTGGTATGCATTTCTGTGATGTTTTGGAATGAAAAACTCATCATTTTTAGAAGAATTACAATATTAAACTGAGTAAGTGGCCGACTGTGCTGGAAAGTCAAGTCAAGCTACTATTTTTTGAAACCTTTCCCATGTTAATTGTCAAAATCTGGCAAGTGCATCTGAGATTAAATTTTGGCCCAAGGGAGCTAAATTTTCTCTTAGACAAGCAACTCACATGCTTGCCAACTTTAATTGACTGGCCAACCTGTTATACAGGATTTGCTCTGCAATTTTTATTGCTGTCTAGCTATTACAATTTAGACCTTGAAAACTGTAAAGAGGGATTGGACAGTTCAAGGGATTGGCAATGGAATGTGGACATTTCACTTCTAGATCACTCAGTCCAGTCCAGTTGTGACAAAATGTAGTTAATCCTCCAAATGCTGTATAGTAGTTTATGTGAAATGTGGTTTCTGTTCAATTTCTATTGGATTCATGTTCAGATCTCTCTCTCACACACACACATTCTCTCTCTCTCTCTCAGTCCTTAACTTTTCTACTAACTTGGAGAATTGCCTTCTCCCTAAAAGTGGTCCCTCAAGATCAGGGACTGACCAAAGCAGGGGAAGCTTCCACTGCTGCTGCCACCCATGCTTGGCCTCTGTATATTCCACAGTTATGTAACCACTGAATTTGCTACAGAATTCACTCTTTTCCATACAGTTGTGCTCCAGAATCTCAATTTTCATTTACAAATATATTTAGCTATCTCTCACAACTGTGAAAATAACTTGGATAGCATGGACCAGGTGTAAATCTTTCTGAATTTTGGAAACAGCCTAAACATTAGGTCTAAAAGGCGTATACTGTCCAATTAATCTCAATAGCATGTTCACTCTGAAAACTAATTATGGTGACATGAATGTCAACACTGTTAACTATTTCAATGCAAATGATTTTGGCCCTGATCCTGTGAAACACCTACCAACATACTTAACTTTAAACTTTTATTCATATGCTCACAGTATTTAGCTCCAACTTATTGCAGACACTTGGTGTTTTGGGCACTCTGTATTATGTTTGTGGGGAGAGGGATAGTTCAGTGGTTTGAGCGTTGGCCTGCTAAACCCAGGGTTGTGCATTCAATCCTTGAGGGGGCCACTTAGGAATCTGGGGCAAAAATCAGTACTTGGTCCTGCTAGTGAAGGCAGGGGGCTGGACTTGATGACCTTTCGGGGTCCCTTCCAGTTCTATGAGATAGGTATGTTTTGTGGATTAGAGAGGCGAAAAACAGGTTCCAGAGCTGTCAATCTGACAGATTCCATCATCACTAAATTCATGTATAGTATTTTTTTTTTTTAAGTTTTTCCACTTCAGGTTTCTCCATTGCTATGAAGTACAGAGCATCAGCATAGGAAGTACTCTTTTAGAAAATAACAGCACATATTTTCAATGTTTTGTACAAATGTTAAACTAAGTGAATGTAAACATTCGTCATTTTGAATTTAAAATATTTATGTTTATCAGGACAAAAGAAATTAGTTGAACTTCACCTCTCCCTATATCTACTTCAACAAAGAATCCACATATGTATCATAGTTAGACTCTGAACCTGCATGTGCACATTGACTTCAATGGGGCTACTCAGAGTGTGTAAAGTTAATCCCATATGTAAATCTTTACAGGATCAGGGCCTTAAATTATTAAAGCTTTCTGGGCATATCACAGAGTACTTGGGCAAGGACAATTAAAAAAACCAGCCAGTCTAAAGAGAAAAGTTTTCAAACAGCAATTTATGTTTTTTATTTAATTGAACCAATTAATGAAATCAGTTGACTTAATGAAATTATTTCAATCAAGCTAAAAGAAAGAAAGTGTTCAAGTGCATTCTGTATAAGAGTCTCAAATAAGTAAAAATTGTTGAGTCTTGTGTTTTGTTGCCAATAAAGCTTTTACAAGTGAAAGCAAAAGCATTGCCAGGAATACATTTGGTGCTTACTCTGCTTTCCATCCTTTTTTGATTTTCATACATTGCAAATCTATAGTGTTGTTGCTCAAAACAGAGAAGGCCACCCACTCACTTTTAATCAATGAGAAACCAGCACTTGTGAAAGCAGTACTGGAAATGTGAAAACAGGAAGAGACCAGTGTGTCATTGGCAAGCCGAACTGTGGAGCAAGATTTAGCAAGTTCATCTCTAACGTCCCCTCAGAGCACACAGTACCTCATGAACTCACTCACTAGACCTGCACACAGTAAACAACTTGGAACTCAGTTTATCTATCTGGAAGGGATGAAGAATTGAACCAGAACTGCTGGGATTTGAAATTATGCTTCCTGGAGTCTAGGTAATTCAAACCAGAGACTTTCTGGAGGGATTTTTTTTTTTTAACTACAGTATTGAATAGCAAAGTGGATGGTAATTATGTGTGACTTCTGGACTGGGCTGGTTTAAATTATTTTCAGGATTGACTGGGCATCTTTCATTGTGGCGTGGAGGCACAGCTGCACCAAATGGAAACTTTTTTTTTAAAAAAGGCACCTAGCTAGAAAATGATTAGGTTTTTCTGAGGGGATAATTGGGGTGGGGGATTTCTCTGCCCCTGTAGCGTTCCCTTTGCTGCTCTTCAGGGTGCTGGGGAAGGAAATTGTCATCATTCTGATCCTACGTGTGTGTTAGTTAAAGTGCCCCTTAACCTTCCTCCCAGCAGGATTTCTGGGTGTATGTGTGTGGGGGAATGGGATCACTGCCCTTCCTGTACAGCCCCTTGCCCCACTGGGAGGCTCTCCCTAGCCCCACCCATCCCCTCTTTGTGTGTGTGTGGGAAGAGGGGGGTTCACTGCCCCCACCCCCTGTTTGTGGGGGGTGGGAGTATCACACCCCATCCGCACCCCGTCCCCCTTGGGGCTGGGGGCATCAGTCATTAGTGTCCCCCCCATACGGCTGTGACCAAGTAATCGACCCTCTCAGTCTCCCTTTTATAGCCCCCTACGCCCGAGGGGAGGGGGCTGCTGGGGAGAACAGCCGAGCGCTCCCCTCCCCCATGCTTAATGCGCGTAGCTTACAACATAGCTCCCCCCCGCCAGGCTGCGGTTCCTCGCGCCCCCGGAGCTCGGGATGACGGTTGGCTGCGGCTCCTCGCGCTCAGCCCCTTCCGCTGGGGGGTTCCCCGCGAGCCGAGCTCACTGGCAGGTCCTGCCGCGGCTGCTGCGCACTCGCATCACGGGCCACATCATAAAGGGGCTGCCCGTGCCCGTGCCCGTGCCCTGCCCTGCCCTCCCCTTCCCTTCGTGCGGGCTCCGCGCCTGCTCAGTGGGAGCGCCGCTCACCCTGCACGGGAGCTGTCACTGCTGCAGCCGGGTTGGTCCGGGCGAAGAGCGGGCAGCGATCGGCCATGGCGAGGGGCTGCGGGCTGCCGGCGCCACCATCGCCCAGGTAAGGGGGCATCGGGGGCGACAGGGTCCCTGAGGGGCAGGAGCGGAGCCGAGCACGGGCAGGAGAAGCCCGGGACCCGCCGCGGGGCGAGAGACGCGGCCGGGATCGGGGTCCGGGGAGGATGCTCCGAGCAGGAAAGTTTATAAATAAGTGAATGAGAAGAACAACACAGCGCCCCCGACCCCCATCTGCTCCCCCCACCGCCCCTCCCCCATTCACAGCTCATACTCCCCCCACCGCTACCCAATCTACTCCCCCCATAACCCCCCTTTACCCTCTCCCCCATCCGCCTCTCGTCTACTCCCCCTCCCCCATCCACCGCCCATCTACTCCCCCCTTTGCCCCCTTTCCCATCCCGCCTCTCATCTACTCTCCCTCCCACATTCACCGCCCCTCTAGCTCTGTAAGCCCCTCCCTCATCCACTACCTATCTACCCCCACATCATCCCCTTCCCCACACAGCCTGTCTACCCCCACCCTCCCATATCCACCACCGTCTACTCCACGTTGTCCCCCACATCCATCGCCCATCTACCCAACACAGCCTCCTCCCCTCATCCACCATCCCCTCCCCTCATCTACTACCCGTTTTAAACCGAAGTATTGTTTAATACTAACAGTAGGAATAAACCATAAGAGAAAGGATTTTAAAACAACAAAAGGTATGTTTGCATGTCTGTTTTACCTAGAGTCCTACCATTCCCATAGATGCCCTAAGCTGGCCTTGCTTTCCTACTCATCCCTAACCTCTGAACTCTGAGTGTTAGTCTGTTTCCCTTAACTGTCTTGCCCCCTGCTTGCAGGAGTGTGCCTTTTAAAAAACTAGTCCGAGTTCTTTGTTCGCTCAGTTTGCAGATTTTTTGGCTACACTAGTTCAAAACCAGATTGCTAGACTCAGTGGGAAGTTGCGCCTGTTCCCTCAGGGTCAGTTGCTCTCCCATTGTCCTGTAACAACCCTCCAGTGTTTGCTGGGGTAGGAGGGTCTTACTGAAAGTCATTGTTTTCACCTTCCTGTCGGTTTTCCAACAGCCCTGTTGATTTAGTCCAGTGTGCTCTTACAGTAACCATCCCAATGGACAGGTCAGGACAAATAGTAATTTACAAGCCTTAGTATGAATTACCGAGATTCTGCTATATATACACAAAAGAACAAAACAAAAAGAAATACACACATACAATCTGCTTGATCTTCTGACTCCTACAAAAATATGGGCCCAGTGAGTTTAAGGACTGTTGCATTACTTAGTGTATGAACTGGGGACATCAGATATCACTTTCACTTTCTAATATACTTGCTATAATTTAGATTTGATATAATGAAATTACAATTTTTATGACATTTGTCTTTAGCCATGGAAATGACTATATGATTGTATGCGATGTTATTATAGCCAGGTGGGTTCCAGAATAGGAGAGAGACAAGATAGGTGAGATAATATCTTTTATTGGACTAACTTCTGTTTGTGTAAGGGAAAAGCTTGCAAGCTATACAGAGCTCTTCCTTAAGTCTGGGGAAGGTAACCAATGTGTCTATGTTAAATACAAGGTGGGATGAATTGTTAAGCATAAGGGGTCACACATGCTGTAGGACAGTGGTTCTCAACCAGGGTCAGGACCCCCTGAGGGGCCACGAGCAGGTTTAGGGGGTCCGGTCTGCCAAGCAGGGCCAGCATTAGACTCGCTGGGACCCCAAGCAGAAAGCCAAAGCCCCACCACCTGGGGCTGAAGCCTGAGCAGTGTAGCTTCGCAGGGGCTCCTGTTGCACGAAATTGCCCTGCTTGCTATCCCCTAATACGGGCCCTGGCTTTTATATGCAGAAAACCAGTTGTTGTGGCACAGGTGGGCTGAGGAGTTTTTTATAGCATGTTGGGGTGGGGTGGGGGGGGCAGGAAGAGGGACAGAAAGAAAAAGGTTGAGAACCCCTGCTGTAGGAAACCATTTAAAATGAAGTGGGCAATTAAGGGTTAGCAGGCAGTAAAGGGTATTGCAAATTGTTGAAATGATCCATAAAACCAGGCTCTGTTAAGTCTGTGGTTTTTAGTATTCCACAAAGTTAATAATTTAAGTTCCCAGGCTCGTCTTTTGAAGGTATTATGCAATTTTCCTTTGACGATAGAACTAAAAAGTCAGATATGGAGTGATCACTTTGTGAAGTGTTCGCCGACAAGTGATATGAAATCTTTGTCTTCTGTCATTTTTCTGTGTGAGTTCAGGTCCGGCCCACAATATTTTGGCACCTGAGGTGGGGAGCTCAAATGATGCCCCCATGCCCCCTCACTTGGGCCAAAACTTTGAAAGGTCTCAATTCTGCCTTCTTCCTGTTCTTCTCCTCTAGTGGTACTGCTCTGCTACCTACCCCAATAATGGAGAACTAACAACTTAAAATGCCTTGTTCAAAAATTTTAAGTAACACTTAACTTTCAAACGCCTGAACAGCAAACGTAACTTTTCTTGTCTCCATAGTAAACACTGGCATTTTTATCTGTTTGAATAATCAAAGTGATGCTTTCTGTGCCTTTTTGGTTGCAAAGATTTGAACTGCTTCCTGCTGAAGGTCCGGGCCATACAGTCTGGGCCAGCTCATGCTCTATTGAGATGGTTGCAAGGCCGACCAGCCTCTCCTGTGTCATTATGGAGCGTACATGTGTTTTTATTAACTTCAGCTTGGTGAAGCTGCGTTCTCCACTGGCAACTGTTACAGGAAGTGTTAGAAGTATGCGCAGAGCAACAAAAGCATTTGGAAAGAGGGTGGTCATCTTATTTGTGCACATATATTCCAGAACTGCCTTTCAAGTTGATACTGCTGAAATGTATCTTGTAAGGGCTTTCAGTTCATCACCTAAATCACTCACACCAATATCGCGTATGTCATCATCCGTCAACACTGTCTCTAGTGCCTGCATTTCTGGTGTAGGTCTTCTTCAGGTATATTGAGGAGTTTTGGAATATCATACAACATCCCAAATATACTGCTGTGTTCCTTGAGCTACATGAAACGTTCTTCAACTGACTGTATTGCACAATCTAGCACCTGGTTAAAGAATTCAACTTTGAATTGTTGTTTGGGGTCTCTTATGGGATTATCCCGTGCCTTGTAATCAAAATGTCTTCTTCTTTGGTGACTCTTGTATTCTTGGGTGGGAAAACAGCTTCAGTGTGAAGTTCCTCTGCAAACTTCTGTGCACTCTTCAGAAAGTTTTGAAATCCCTCATCTGACCGGTCAGACTGTAGGTATGACTTTGCTTTGACCAGTTGTTCCATTGCTCCAGATATATCAAGGTCAACACCTTGAAGTCTCTTGCTTACAACATTTATTTCAAACAGTATGTCATGCCACAACACTAAGCCACACAGAAATTTAAAGTTATGTGTATTTCTGGTGATTCCATTTCCCTCTGCCACTGTTCTTCCATGAACAGTTCCTGTCATAACATTATCCTCCGTAATGGCAACTATGGCATCATCTATCATCCCAATTTGGTGTTTGATAGGCTTTATCGCCTCCACTCGACTTTCCCATCGTGTGGCACTCAGTGGTTTCAGTGTCAGAGAGGATGTTCCCAGATGTTGCTACAAAATTTGCCATCAATGAGTTGATGCAGAGAAAAATACATAGATGCTTTGAATTACATTAAAAAATTCAGCAGCCCCACTAGAAGCTGATGGTGCATCACTGACCACCAAGTTCAATGAATGAAAACTGCATGGGACAAAAAAAGCTTGAGGGTTTAACTCTCGGATCCGTGTCTGCACTCCTCTGTTCTTTTCTCTCATGTTGGCACCATTATCGTAGCCCTGACCTCTCACGTCAGCTATTGCAATTCCCATATCTTCCAGCTTTTTAAGAAGCACATTTGTCATACCAGCTCCTGTAGTATCATCAGTGTCAATAAATTCTAGAAAATGCTCTCT